CCCTTCCCTTTACTGTTGTAAGCCGCCCTGAGTCCCCTCAGGGAAAAGGGCGGCATATAAATTTGCAATAAAACATAAAACATAAAACATGAGGAAAACTCATGGCCAGCTCATTATTTAAATCTCCCTTAAATCTATCTTGTAGTAATAAGTAATCTACTCTATTGGATACCTAGAGTTTAAAATGCAATTTTAAACAATATCATTATATTTTGGACAGCATTTTTATTGTGATATGATCTAGCAAGCTACCAGAAATGAAAAGGCAACACTTAAGGCAGATTATTAAATTTAGTACTTTGATCACTGTACATTCCTGAAGTGCATAGTATTTACACTATAATGTAAGATGAATTTATAGTTAGGAGATTTGGTGATGTTTTGTTGTGTGAACCACTTAGAGGTTGATATTGTGATTGGCCTACAAATAATTTTAAATAAACAATTATTAATGGGAGTGGGTTTTCTTACATACTCCAGGAACTCTATAGGCCTAGAACACTTAGAAATTTGATTCATTTTTTTGTCTTTATTTTTAAGGATAACAAGTTTCATTCTAATTTTGTTTAAACCTTTATTTACTTCTTCCCTTGCAAACTGTGTAAGCTGTGAGCTTCTCTGGGAGAAAGGAAATGAATACAAATAACCAATACCTGAGCAATTTCTAAATTGCAAAATAGAATCAAATCTTAAAATATTCATCCTCAAATGTGAAGGGAATTCAGAAGGAGATTAATTATATTTTCTCAGTCCTTGATTTGGTGCTCTTTGGAGGATTTGACTTTGGCTGAAAATATTTCATTACATTTCATTTAATGACATTTAGCAAGAGACTGAGTATCTGCTATCTCATTCTCCTTTTCTTCTCTCTCCCAATAACATCTAGTAATATCACATAGGTGATGCAGGTGCCCCTATGTTGGAATTTTTACCTGCATTGCCATGATTTTGTAGAATGGCACGGTGGCCTAGAGGTGGAGCTCTTGCCTCACAATCAGGAGGTTGTGAGTTTGATCCTAGGTAGGGGCAGAAATTTCTTTCTCTGGGCACACTGAGAATATATCTGCTGAGTATAACTCTGCGTTGGGGACAGTAAGGGCACCCAGCCAGCAAACACTCAGCTCCATTCAGTTGTCCAGACTCCACCTGCAAAGGAAATGTGGGGTTGTTAAAAGAGGGGTCAGTGGCTAAGATGCTGAGCTTGTTGATCAGAAAGGTCAGCAATTTGGCAGTTCGAATCCCCAGCGCTGTGTAATGGACTGAGCTCCTGTTACTTATCCCAGCTTCTGCCAACATAACAGTTCAAAAGCAAGTAAAAATGCAAGTAGCAAAATAGGGACCACCTTTGGTGGGAAGGGAACAGCATTTCGTGCACCTTTGATGTTTAGTCATGCCAACTACATGACCACGGATACGTCTTCGGACAGCGCTGCCTCTTCGGCTTTGAAAGGGAGATGAGCACCACCCCCTAGAGTCAGGAACGACTAGCACATATGTGTGAGGGGAACCTTTGCCTTTACCTAAAAAATGATGATGATTGGCAAGGTTTTGTAGGAATAACAATGTTCATTGCAAAGTATTTTGTATCAGACATGTTGCTACTGATCCATTTATATTACCCACAGGCCATTTGACAAACCGTAGACCTCAAATCTAATCTCAGAGGGTGTGAGTAAAAGCCAATCCATTAAAAGTACAGTGAAATATTTAAAATAGAGTAGCTAACAAGAGACAAAACTAAATAGAAAAATATTCAGTTAAAAGAGGATGTACTAAAGAAAGGTAAGTTCTTCATCAGACACTGAAATCAAGTGAAAATCATTGATAAACGTGACTTCCAGCATAAAGCATGGAAGAGAATATCGCACAAGACCTCACTTTCTTCTCTTCAATTATTTTTTTTTATCCCAAACATAACCCTACAGCTTCTTCATTGCAGTTTTTCTTGGCCTCTGTTATTGAAAGCTAGTGGCATGATTTCTTAACACTTTGAACCATTTTGTATGTTTCACCCAATGTCATTCCAAGCTTTGCAAACTATATTCAATGTACCTCTGAGCCACCAAAAAATTGTCCATTCCTGTTGTTGTCTCATGGAATAGTATATAGATGTACTAGTGGGTGGTAAATCTTTATGTTTTTACTCACCACAAATAAACTACCATGAGGTTTGCCAGCCAGTACATATAGATTGTGGGGGCTTTGGTACCCTTTGAGCTTGGTGGTTTTCTTGCAGACGCTTCATTAGGTAACACCATTACTGCTACTAATGAAACATCTACAAAGGGAACCACCAAGTTCAGACACCACCAAGGACCTTCCAGTCAACCTTGAGCTACAAATATTCTCTCCTATTGTTTGCCTCAAAATCCTTCAAGGGAGCATTTGAAGTTTTGTCCTCCCCGTTGTACTCTTTTATCTTAACTATTACAGCATAGAATATTTTCTGGGGGAAATTGACATGTTGCATTTGAAAAAGGTTTGATATTTTGGGGGGAGTTGGCTATGATCCACTTCAAATAAGCTGATGTTCCTAGGTATGCGTACTGTCCATGTGTATCATCAGCATAATTGGGTAATGAAATGTGCCCTCCTGTCCGTGTCTCTGATTATCATGCCTTGAGCACATTACAAAAGAAGACACTACATTTAGGCATGGAGGCATTCTCCACCAACCTGGGAAATCTGGCTTCACAAAGATAAGTGATTCTTCCCACGTACATGCTTGTATCCCACCCAAGAAACTCGACATGGCCATGGCTGGCAAAAGCAGTGGCACTAAGTACTGGAAAAATGCCTTATTAACCAAAGATGAAGAATGTCTTTGTAGCTCCCATTACATATACTCAGCGGTGGGATTCAGCCGGTACGGACCGGTTATGGCCCAGCCCACCTGCCCCTGCACTAGTCTGTCCTATATTTCCTTTGTTTGAAGCCCAGCTGATAGGCGCAGCAGAGTGGATTGCCGCGCCTTAGCTGTTTTACTCACCAGGGCTGTAGAAGAAGGTATGTTTTAGAGCTGTTTTCAAACGCACTGTGTGCGTGCTCTCAGCAAACCGGTTGTTACATTGGTTTAATCTCATCACTGCATACACTTCTAGTTTGAAGTGTACCTCTGTAAGCCGTATGGAATATATATTGTATATGGAATGAGAGACACCAGAGAGAATTATGTTTCTTTCCTTAGCGTTAGTCCCCACAAAAGGCAATTTGAAATTACATTTCAATTTCTTTGTAGGAAGGATATTCTCTCTCATGGCCGCTGCAGATGGAAGTGGTAGAGGGAATAGAGTTGGTGCATTCATTTCTTTCCTCTTTTTTGTGTTCATAATATATATCCTTGCTTTAAAAATTCTTGCTGAAAAGTTCAATACATTCATACAAAACTGCATTCCATTTATCACATCAAATATGGTATAACTATTGCATGTCAATAACATTTCTTTATGCTTTTCATAAACAAGTCATTTCACATCCACGTTGATGTTTTCTGGCACCATGAGCACTTGAGTTTTGGCAATATAAATGACATAATCTTGAATTCCCTAGAAATGATCTGCAAATTACTTCGAAAATCCTGCCACTTAAATGTAGCTATCAAACCAAATGCGCCCCTCTGCTTTCTCATTTGCCTTCAATACTTTATTTTGGCTTTCTGGTTCGTTGCTTCTATTATCCCTAATACCAAATTTGAGGAAATAATAATTTGTAACATGGAGCGAAGTTTGTTTGGGGAATTATCATAGTCTGCAGCAATTTGCAGGGTTTGTTGTGGATTTTCTGCTTGATTGTTCTAGAGACAATTTGGTAATCGTGACTGCGTGGTCTCTTGGTTTGCTTCCCTCCTGACAGATTAACTTTCGGTGCAAGCCAACTTTTCGAGAAGGCAGTTCCAGATCTCCAAGAGAGGTGAGTGGCAGGAGACCGATTGTCTTTGAATGACACATGTAGCCTTACCTGAATGACACTCATCACTCAGGAGTCTGAGTGTGATGGAATGAAATAAGAAGATGGATTCCCAGGAGGGAGAGATGCATTCCAGAGAAGTAGGAGGTATCTCAGTCTGAATATTATGCCTGCCAGTGTCAGGCACAAAGGATCAGGGCCGTTTCTTGAGTTTCAACACGGAAGATTTCTTCAAGCCAGAATAAGAATCCAGTCAACTAAAGTTCAATATTAAATTGTGGAGTTGGAGTTGGATTGTTTGTGGCAATGTAAGGACTCTACATGTGGTGGCTCATAGGGGACATGGTGGCTCAGTGGCTAAGAAGCTGAGCTTGTCAATCAGAAAGTCGGCAGTTCAGCAGTTTGAATCTCAAGTGTTGCTCCTGTTACTTGTCCCAGCTTCTGCCAACCTAGCAGTTCGAAAGCATGTAAAAAACGCAAGTAGAGAAATTGGGACCACTTTGATGGGAAGGTGAGAACATTCTGTGAACCTTCGGTGTTTAGTCATGCAGGCCACATGACCACGGAGACGTCTTCGGATAGTGCTGGCTTTTCGGCTTAGAAACAGAGATGAGTACCGCCCCCTAGATCTGGAAACGACTAGCATGCAAGAGCGGGTAAACTTTACCTTTAAGGACTCTAAGCTGATGACATGTTTAACTCTGTCCCCCTCCCCAGCTCTGCCTGATCTTCTCCTACAGATAGAAAAAGGGCAAAGACAGCACCACCCTAATAGTTTACACAATATATTGTAGATGCAGAGAGTAGAGTTCTCAGTCTGCAAGCTTTTGCCTATAGGTGTGAGAACAATACAAAATCACATGTCATTTGTCATTTTGGGCCTGACACTGAGTATTTAATAGAGTTATGCAAAATGGTTTTTACTTTGATAAAGTGCTCGTAACTATGGAAGTGAAATGAGTTTTCTCACTAAGACAAAAAAGAGACACATTGACCTCAACCCATACAATTTTATGCATTGTGAAATGCAGAATAAAGCTTTATTCAATAATCATATTAGGGGCGTTGTGTGATTATAGGCATTATAGAAGTCTTTTTGGCGCTAATAACTGGGAAGGACTGAAAACTACACTATATTGTCAAAAGTATTCACTCACCTGCCTTTACTCGCATATGAACTTACTGTAAGTGACATCCCATTCCTAATCCATAGGGTTCAATATGACATCGGTCCACCCTTTGCAGCTATAACAGCTTCAACTTTTCTGGGAAGGCTGTCCACAAGGTTCAGGAGTGTGTTTATGGGAATTTTTGACCATTCTTCCAGAAGCGCATTTGTGAGGTCACACACTGATGTTGGATGAGTTTACGTGGCCTACCACTTCGTGGCTGAGTTGCTGTCGTTCCCAAACACTGCCACGTTCTTATAATACAGCTGACAGTTGACTGTGGAATATTTAGGAGCAAGGAACTTTAACAACTGGATTTGTTGCACAGGTGACATCCTATCACAGTTCCACGCTGGAGTTCACTGAGCTCCTGAGAGCGACCCATTCTTTCACAAATATTTGTAAAAACAGTCTGCGTGCCTAGGTACTTGATTTTATACACCTGTGGCCATGGAAGTGATTGGAACACCTGATTCTGATTATTTGGATGGGTGAGCGAATACTTTTGGCAATATAGTGTAAATATTTCTCAGAAATAATTAGAATGGATCTGTATGGGAGTTCTAATCTCAGACATCTAAAAGACATCAAATTCCAAAAGGTTAAAATAGGAAGTCCTATGGCCTAGACCTGTGATGGCGAACCAATGGCATGCATGCCAGAGATGGCACACAAAGCCCTCTTCATGTGAAGACCAACTGGCCAGCATGCATGTGTGCATCGGAACCCAAAAGAGAGCACCTGGCTGGTGCACATGTGCACTAGACCAGCTGTCCAGGGCGTATGCTTGCGATGGGACCTGGAAGAGCAGCTGGCTGCTGCACACATGCGCAGTGGCCAGCTGCTCTTTTCCAGGTTCTGGTGTGCTCCAGTTTCGGCACTCAGTGCTGAAAAGGTTAACCATCGCTGGCCTAGAACTAAGTCTAAAAATTACAATGGCTTTTAGAGATATTACAATTGGAAGATTCCAGGTTTTAACCACTTATTTTCAGCATCATGGCAAGTTTCTACTATAAAAGATCTTCCCATGTGCTTCAGAACATCTTATTATGCATGCTTACTTTTGCCAATGAGAGGTAATGTCTTTATTCACTTATAGGTGAGTTGATGAAGGTTGTATAGAATTGGGATTGGGTTGGAGTGTATTTTAAATTAATTCTATTCCTTGCTTGTGTTTCCCTGTACTACAGAATTTTGTTCGACATCACTGGGTTCACAGAAGGCGACAGGAAGGGAAATGTAAACAATGTGGAAAGGTAGAAATAATGCCATCAAAATCTGTTAAAAAAGAATTATAAGTTCTAGTTTTTAGGTGTCTCTTCTTCAAGCAGCATAATTGGCCTCTTTAAAGGTTTTTCTGTTTGGTTTCCTGCTTAGATATTAAAATTGGAGGCTGTACTCTAGATTTTAATGACTTCAGATCGGTTTTGCCATTCCTTTTCTGCCTAACAAATTTTGAAGGGTATTCCTCTGACTGCCAAATACTTACCCACCTTTGTGATAGTTATGATAATGGCTGCAAAAAATCAGATGACCAGCAGGTGACAGCAAAGTTAGAATCAATATTTTTTCAGAGCCTCTTTACTGCTATCTAGTGGCTGTTCAAATGTTTGCAACTCAGATATATCAGCCTTATCACAGATCATTGATACTGTTTGACACAGTCAAGAATGTTATCGGTTAAAGATGTGGAAATCTATGTAACGTCTTAATATCTGACAGTATCCGAGTAATCTGCTATTCAAAAACATCAAGTTCTGGGACTTTTAAAAAACTGCTTCCATGTAAACTAATATGTAATGTTCTTTGTTCCTCCAATTCTCAATTTAACAAATCTGAAAAAAGAAGAAGCAATTTGTCAGACCTGCAGAAAAGAATAACAGCTCTATTATCTCTGAGCAGTATCTTTTATTTCTCACATCATTCATTCCTCTGAAGTCATTTTTTAAAATTATTACTTTTGTAATAAACTAGATAATTTCACCATCTTTTTCTTACTCTTAAAAAAGCCCAAATCTCTGATCCTCAACATGTACCAAATATATAGTTGCTGCAGTTTCTGAAATGTGTTCACTGAATTCCCCAAAACCAAACTGTGTTAATGTGAATTAGCAGAAGATAATAAATTGTGTTATACAGGAGGGATAACTGCTAGGAGCTAAAACTGAAGGTTCAAAATCATTAACTTCATGCATGAAGTCCAAGGTTAAAAACAACAACACACCATTACTAATTGCTGTAGCATGGCCAGTATCACAAGTATCTAATTTGATCATTTATCAGAAATCCTAAATCAATGGAGGAGATGCTTTTAATGGAGGAGATGCTTTTAACATATTATAAACAGTGTGCAACAATGATTGTTGTATGCTACCCAGAGTTGCTCTTGGTGTGATGGGCAACCATATAATTCTGATAAAAATACCCACTTTACACTAAGGTTTCAGGTTCTATCTTAGTATTCTAGTTTCCATACCCCACGTCTTCTGATTTAATGTTTCTATACTTTCCTTGATTTATAGTACCATGGCAGTAGCACTAAGTAAATCAAAAGTAGGCACTCCAGTTTGAGAATTTCTTGTTTTTGATTTCTTGGGCATTTGTTTCTGCCAAGGGAAATGAATGGAGCTATTTGAATTAGATATAAATTTTTGCTACTTTGTTACTTACAAAGTGGAAGCATGAAAAAAAAAACCACACAGACCTGAATAAAATGGTCCATTGTTTTTTTTTATAGAAGAATTTAATTGCATGTCCATTGTGCAATTTCATACTATTCTGTTTATATTCACTCAGAGTTGCCTTGAAAAAAATATGTGACATGTTAATTGGTGATGCAACAAACTCTTGTTATTTCAGGGATTTCAACAAAAATTCTCCTTTCATAGTAAAGAGATTGTGGCTATCAGCTGTTCATGGTGCAAACAAGCGGTAAGTCATTTTCTCAAAGTGATGCTGCAGATTTTAGCCGATGGGTAGAGTCCATTATACTTTTTATTCCCCATTTCCTTCCTCTTATAGAAATATAGAAAACTGGTGGCAGAAAAAGACCTAGTCTTCCCATTGAGTCTACCCATTGAGTCTTCTATTTTTCATTTTAAAAAAGCCAGATATGGGACATTTGTTTATCCCAAGCATGTACCCCTGATGGAAGTTGGATCCAAGCTTTCATTATTTTCTTTGAAGTAATACTTTGGTACTTCCCTCCTGTCAGTTTGAGGCTATGCCCCATCTTGATATTTGCTTAATATTGAAAGTAACTGCCTACTAAATCCTTATTTACACCCTTAATATATTTTAAGATTTCAGTCACATTCTCCACTTTCCCTCCTGTCCTCTAACCTATGCAAAGCATATTCAGTTCCTTAATCTCTCCTGATATTGTTTTGTCCTTCACACCTTGCACCATTTGTGTTGCCCATCTCTGGACTTGCTCAATCTTAATAAAACCTTTTTTTTTCAACATGAGGTCTTCAGAACTGAACACAGTATTCTAGATGGGATCTGAGTAAAATGCTATATAAAAGTCAATTGCTCCTGGGGAGGAAAGCTATCACAAATCTAGACAGCATATTAAAAAGCAGAGGCATCACCCTGCCAACAAAAGTGTGTATAGTCAAGGCTATGGTTTTCCCAGTTGCAATATATGGCTGTGAAAATTGGACCATAAGAAAGGCTGAGCACCAAAGAATTGAGTCCTTTGAACTATGGTGCTGGAGAAGATTCCCATGAGTCCCTTGGACTGCACTGCAATCAAATCGGTCAATCCTAGAGGAGATCAATTCTGACTGCTCTTTAGAAGGCCAGATCTTGAAGATGAAACTCAAATACTTTGGCCACCTAATGAGAAGGAAGGACTCACTGGAGAATAGCCTAATGCTGGGAATGATGGAGGGCAAAAGAAGAAGGGGATGACAGAGAATGAGGTGGCTGGATGGAATCACTGAAGCAGTAGGTGTGAGCTTAAATGGACTCCAGAGGATGGTGGAAGACAAGAAGGCCTGGAGGAACATTGTCCATGGGGTTGTGATGGGTCGGACATGACTTCGCAACTAACAAGGACAACAAAATGCTAGATAGTAGGATTAGGCTCTCCTTTTTCCTGCTGATGATCCCTCTAATAATGCATCCCAGAATTTTGTTTTCCTTCACAACTGCCTGACCACACTGTTTACTCATTTTGCAGTCATCTGTTATGAGCACACCTACATTCTTTTCTTCTCTTTTTATAACACTGGGGGCCCAATACTGTAACCTGACAGAGGAAACCCCCCCCCCAGCACATGATGTTACATTTAGAAACGTTGAATTGTAGTTTCCACATTTTTGATCAATTTTCCAGCAATGCCAAATCTTTTTCTGTGTTACGAGTGATCCCAGGAGCATCAATTCTGTCACACACCATTGTGTCAACTGCATTATGTGCTTATTAGGTGTATGAAGAGGAATTGAGTTATTGAATTAGGAGCCCATCATTCATCCCAAAACATGATTGGCTATGCACCTGTTAGGGGAATATAAAAAGAGAAAGTGGCTATCTTATGGTTAGGAAAATTGTGTCTTATGATTAGGAAAATTGTGCCAATTGCAATCTGGCCTGAAAGAATGCAAAACAACATAATTCATATCATTTACATGTGTATGAATTTCACATCTCCTTCTTTTCATATGGAACCCTCTGTGCTCTCAATACAAAACATGTTCTGTGTGGACAGAACAGTTTGGTAACAGATTAACAGAGTTGGAAGAGACCTTGTAAGTCATTTAGTCCCAAACTCCCCAAGCAGAAGACCCTACACCATTTCTGACAAATGGCAGTCCAATCTCTTTTTGAAAGCCTCCAGTGACGAAGCTCCCACAATTTCCGAAGGCAATTGGCTGTTCCATTGGTTGATTGTTATCACTGTCAGAAAATTTTCCCTTATTGTTGAATCTCTCCCTGGTCAATTTCCATCCATTATTCCTTGTCCGGCCTTCAGGTGCTTTGGAAAAATAGCTTGACCCCCTCCTCTCTGTGGCAACCCCTCCAATATTGGACCACTGTTATCATGTCTCCCCCAGTCCTTCTCTTCACTAGACTAGCCATGCCCAATTCCTGTAACTGTTGAATATGTTTTACTCTCCAGTCCCCTAATCATCCTGGTTGCTCTTCTTTTTAAAGATATGCATATTTGGGCCTGAAATGCTGCGAGACAAGGGAAAAGGAAGATTGGAATATGTCTCTTTCCTAATGCTGATGTCTTTGCCCCCCCCCCCTACTTCTCACCTTTGCCCTTCTCCATACTCTTCATTTCACAGAGGCCTCTGCTTTTCTTCCTCTCTAGTTTCACAACAAAGTCACCTGCTTCCTGCTGCAGCACATTGAGGAGCCTTGTTCCCTAGGAGCTCATGCTGCTGTTATTGTTCCCCCCACCTGGATCATTAAGGTGAAGAAGCCTCAGGTAACAGCATGCTTCTGCTTGTTCTGACAGTGCGGATTGGTTCACTTGGCTGAAGACTGCTGGTATTCCTGTGGGGAAAAACATGCTATCTTGCCTTTGGCTACCCTCGTATAATATCCCTAATTGCTATAAGACATTATCTTCCCTTTCCAGATAGTTTTTTAAAACTTTATTTTATGTACCGTATTTTTTGGAGCATAAGATGCACCCATTTCCCTCAAAAGAGAAAGTGAAAATCTGGGTGTGTCTTATACACTGAATACAGCATTTATGACCTCCCGAAACCCCGCCCCCTTTGCAAAAATGGCCATACATAGCCTTTAGGAGACCCCCAGAGTGCTCCTGGGGGCTGAGGAGGGCAAAAATGAGCAAAAAATTGGCTATTTTGCCTCATTTTTGCCCCCCCAACCCCCAGGAACAATCTATAAGCCTCCTAAAGGCTATGTATGTCCTTTTTTTGACAAAAACGGGCCCATTTGCATGAATTTTTGGGAGGTGTGCAGAGTGCAAAAACCTTCTTTTAAAAAATGTGCCTCTTCAAAATCTTGGGGCGTCTTATACTCTGAAAAATACAGTAACTATCTTAAACCTGGGGGAGTAAAATGTTAGACCTTGGGGATTGGGGCCAAAAGCAGCCATTTCTTCATTCCAAGGGAGTAGCTTAAATATACATGTGACATTAACAGGATTGTTAAACGGTCATCTTAAGAATCTGGAGAAATTCTTTCCGGTTGAGATCTCAAATGAAAACTACTTTCCAGGTTCAGTTTTTTAGCAGCGGGTTCAGCCATAAGCAAAAGCAGCAGGCATGATCAGACCCCACAGGAAACATGGTCGAAGTCAAATGAACAGGCTTTTCAAACTGTACAGTTTGGAAAGTGGCCATAGTTCATGTAAAGCTAGTTCAGATTTTCCAGCTGATTCTTGGGCCTGCCTTAATGAGTTAGTTGCCCAACTCCAGTTTGTCCCTCTATAAGACTCTGGATTCAGACTGTGGTCTTCTGGATGGAACATTATTTTTCTCCAAGCTGAAGAATTTGGCTCATAAAACATTGTGTCCGAAGTCACAGTCTCATCTACTGCCTTGGAACTTGGGACCTTTTTTTAAAACCAGGGTTTCCAATTAATATGCTTGCAACCTATAGAGCAGTTATTATTTTTTTACTGGTAGGATTGGCATTTTTGAGTTTGAGCAGGTATTTTAAAGTAAATTATTTTAGGAAAAATATATATATAGTGGAGCAAAACAACAGCCATTCATAGTTTTTGACAGATTATATCATACAATAGACCTTTGGGCTAACATATCTACTTTTGTTTTATTTTTTATTTATATTTTTTTGATTTTGAGGCATTTTATTTATTTTTTGGTTGCTGCCGCTGCCCCCCAAACGTGGGAAGGAAGGTAGAGAAAAAGATAAGGAAGGAAGGAAGGAAGATAAGAAAGAGAAAGGAAGGAAGGAAGGTAGAGAAAGAGAAAGGAAGGAAGACAGAGAAAGAGATAAGGAAGGAAGGAAGACAAAGAGGAAGGAAGGAAGGATGGAAGGAAGAAGATGGAAGGAAGGGATGAAGGAAGACAGAGAAAGAGATAGGGAGGGGAAGGGAAGGAAGGAGGGAGGGAAGTCAGAGAAAAATAAGGAAGGGAAGGGAAGGGAAAGAAGGAAGGAAGACAAAGGAAGAGTTATCTACTTCTGTTTTAAACATCTATTGGTATATAATGAAAACAATATTCCAAGTTGACTTTAGGGGAAGTTTTTGTTTTCTTTTTTTTAAAAAAGGGGCCTTTGCTCCATAGAGAGATCTGGAAATAACGATGTCTTCCCTTGGAATTGCTGTACTGTGAAAAATTCTTTCCCTTTTCACAGCAAATGATTCTTTGGTGATTTGAAATACTTTGAGTTCTCTCCATTATGAAGAGATGGAATATATGGAGTGGAGAAAAGTGTTCATGTGTTCAGAGAAATTATGAAAGGGAGTGCTGCGTGGATTCCAGACTTTCTATTAAATGCATGGATGAATCTGGAGAATTGAGCCCTGAGGTATAGTTGGGTAACTCCTTCAGAAGGCAGACACAAATAAACTCTTCACTGGAATATATAATTTTTGGATTTTGGATCTGCAAGAGAATCCAAAGTAAAAACAACAATAATAACAAACAAACATAGAGTAACCCAAGAAAGAATACTAGAGTAACCCAAAGAAGAAGAAGAATTTCTTTGTGCTTGAACTGGAATGAGTGGTTCCACCACAAAACCGCGGTAGACTAAAGCGCGCTCGACGAAAGCGCGTACGTGACGTCATCACAGCGNATGCATTAATTTTACAAATGGCAGTGAAAATGACTATTGTATATCATAGATGGGATTCACTTACCTTCCTGTTCTGTCCCCCCCTTCTCCGCTCGTTAACAAACGGCAAGCAGACAAACTTAAAAGAAACTTTCTTTATCAGTTCTCGGCTCAGACTGGCTTTGAGCCCAAAAATAACATAAATACAGTCTCTGACCAGATAACGGAATGAAAAACAAATCTTTCTTAAGGCAACACAAGTTGAACAAAATGAAAGCAAAACACTTCTTCCAAAGTCAGGCTTCAACTCCTGGGGGATGCTAAGAGTTGAAGACCACACATCTTAAAATTGCTGAAATTGGGAAATGCTTAGATCCATGATGGCGAAACTATGGCACACGTGCCACAGGTGGCATGCGGAGCCCCCTCTGTGGGCACATGAGCCGTGCATGCACTCGCCTCCTGCCAGCCAGCTGATTTTCAGGTCTCTGCTGCGCATGTGCAGAGGGCTGGCGGGGGGGGGCATGCAGTAGACATGTGCACATGCGTGGGGATGGGGTGGGGGATGCGTATATGCAGGGAGAGGGGGAGCACAGGAAGGGGCATGGTGCCCCCTGTGCCCAATTTTTGGTCCCAGGAGGCTTCAGGGAGGCCTGGTAGGTCAAAAATGTGGTGCAGGGGGGTTCATGCACATATGCACAGGGGTTGGGTGTGTGGGGGGGCATTGTGCATGCATGTGCGGGGCGGTAGGGAAGGGGGAGCACAGAAGGGCGACACATGCCTGTGCAGGGGGGTAGGGCATGCAGGGGGTGTCACACCCTTATTACATTATGGGTTTGTGTACACATGCGCACAATCGCACACGCTTTCAGCACGTGACGACAAAGAGGTTAGCCATCACTGCTTGAGGTGATCCCAAAATGCTAAGGAAAGTCAGATCATGTTAATCTTTGGATGGGAGATTATTAGAAAATCCTAGACTGGGAATTTGCAAATAATCTAAATGAGGGGCATAGTTTGCAATGTGTTGTTACCAAGAAAAGTTTCAGTGTCACACAATACTATTCGAAGGTTTTTAAAATTGTGCTTTAAATATCTACTCTCTAAATTCCCCTATATATAACATGTTTTTAATGCCACAAGATGGCACTCTTGGATATTGTCTAACTCTCATCTGATGCTCCTGTATTCCTGATATTTTCAAAAGCAGAACAGTCTTATTTCGTTTCATTTTTTAAAAAAAATGTTTTTCACTATGTCTGTATGTAAAAAAAGGCTTGATGTAACCAAGGGAATTGCTAGCAGATGCCGAGCCAAGTTTCAGAAAACAAGAGAACCAGAGAGAAATTTGATGGGGTTTTTTTTCCCCCTGTTTAAGCATCAGACTACAATTTGTTATTTCTGGGGTAACATTCCGCCAGTCAATTTGCATAATTGCTTTAAACCAAGCAACTGTTTTGTGACACAGTGCAAAATGGGTGATTTAGGCTGCTAACTGGTAAAAAGCCTCAAAGCTCATTAAATTCAATACAGGAAAAAAAAACCACCTGAATTGATTAGCAACAGCTTTCCAGGCTCACTTGCAATTGGTGGCTTTAACTTTTCAAGTCCTGAATATTTTAAAAGTTTGGCTAATTACTGGTATATCTGTTTCTGAAAAGGCCTTTTAAAAACGTTTTGAATTCTGAGAGATGTGAATCCAAAGATGCTTTCTTTTTATCAAAAGCCAACTAGACTTTGTTGGTTTTTTAAAAAAAAACTTTTACTTTGAAAATGTTTTGCTTCTCACCCAAGAAGCTTATTCAGTTCTAACTGACTTGTAGTATGTATATGTGTATATGTGCGTGTGTGTTTGTATATATGTGTGTGTATGTGTGTGTGTGTGTGTGTGTGTATGTATGTATTTCAGCGAGGTCACCAGCCTGAGGATGGCGAGTGAGACCTCGCCGAAATGTTGCCAAGACAATCTCAATCTTACACGGGAAAAGACCCGAATACAACAAGACCACAGATACACACACTCACACAAACACACATATATCAGTGGAGGGTTTCAATTTTTTTTAGAACCTCTTCTGTAGGTGTGGCCTNTCACGTATGCGCTTTCGTTGGGCGCGCTGTAGTCTACCGCGGTTTTGGCGTGCCACGGGAATGAGTGTGATGGATTATTTGAAATGTTTCTTAATGAGGAGTAATATGACTATTGAAAGTTTTATTAGGAGCGGAATTTGGCTTCACAGCAGGGGTGAAATCCAGCAGGTTCTGACAGGTTCTGGAGAACCAGTAGCGGAAATTTTGAGTAGTTCGGTGAACTGGTAGCGGAAATTTTGAGTAGTTTGGTGAACCGGTAGCGGAAATTTTGAGTATTCAGAGAACCAGCAAATGCTACCTCAGAGTGGAGTGGGAAATATAGAGTTTGCAATATCCTTCCCCTGTGACGCCCATCAAGCCACACCAAACCCACCAAGCCACACCCACAGAACTGGTAGTAAAAAAAAATTGAATTTCACCACTGTTATAAAGAGTCCTGTGCTGAAATGTACTTTTGGTTGTTCAGAAATTCTCTTCCTTTGCAAAAGAAGTATTGATTTTTTTAAAACCTTATTTTAAGGACAAATGAACATATCTCATGTGGTTGAGCTTATTTTAATACCTGGAGATGGCAGAAGGTGCTAAATCTGTGGTTATTTTTGCAACACATCTCTCCATGATTTTGAAGCCTGCCTGGCTGCCCACACAACTGAAAGCCTCATGGGAAGTCTTCTTGCGCGCTGCCTTCCTTTGTGTTTTAATGAAACATGGGATGCCAAAGAGGATGTGTCATCCTGAGGAGCCGATTCTAAAAAGGAAGACTAGCACTTGGTCACCTTCTAACTGAAGAAGGCAATGTAGTCTACCCATGAAAGCATCATTGAAACAATCTTCTCATTTGAAAGATTTTGCCAATATCTTTTTATCAATTTAGATAAGGTGGGGAAAAAATCAGGAATAGTGGTTTTTTTTAACCCTGTATGGAATTGTTATAAACAATTCAAGTGATCTGCAGAGAAATGCGGGCTAATAGACTAAAGTGGTCGTGTATACCAGAGGCATTCATTTTATGATTAAAAGGGGAAACGTGACTCTTTATAGATAACACGGCTGTATTTATCATTAGATGTAAAAGAATAACTTTAACAATATTCCTCAACCACATAGCTTTCATGGAATTATAATGTTGAAGGTGGTCGTTTAGGTTATTGTCAATCCCTATACAGTGCAGAAATATAATTAAAGCATTCCCAAGAGATGGTTATTAAGAAATTGCTTGAAGAAATCCAGTGAAGCGAATCCTGCATGTCTTCTCTGGATAATTGAATCCACTGTCAAATTACTTGTACTTTCTGGAAGTTTCTTCTAACATTCACTTGTTCCTTCCTGTAAATTAAATCCATTATTCTATGTCATGCAGTCTGAGGACAGGCCTTGACCTTACTTTCAAAAATTTGATATGGACAGGGGTGGAATTCTACCGGTTCGGACTGGTTTGGGTGAACTGATAGCTCCGATTATCAGCTGGGAATGAACCAGTTTGCTCCGACGAGCAAGTGGGCCCGCCTGCCTGCCCCTATGCTTTACTTACCTATATCTTCTCAGCTGATTTGTGTGCTGCTTTGCCATGCCTCAGCTGTTTTCTTCCACAGCAGTAATGGGGAAGGTAGATTTTCTCCAAACTGTCCACATGACACAATGATAATTGAACCTGTTATTAAACTGGCAGGATCCCACCACTGGATGTGGGACATCATATCTCCCCTCAGTCATTAAGTCATAAAGGTACTCAGTTCCTTCAATCTTTTCTCATAAACCTGAAATTTTCAGTTTCTTTTAATCCTTAAAGTATTTCTAACGTTTGCAAAAGCAAACTCTTGAGTTATCCATCTATTGGGATAGTTTGCATTGTTCCTTTGTGGTATACACAGAAGCACTTGAACTGGAATGAGTGTGATGGATTATTTGAAATGTTCCTTAATGAGGAGTAATATGACTATTGAAAGTTTTATTAGGAGGGGAATTTGGCTTCACAGCAGGGGTGAAATCCAGCAGGTTCTGTCACTTTTCTTTAATTTTCATTATATTTTCAAGGAATTTCAACATGGAGAAAATGGCTTTGTGATTTTGCAACATTATCCAAGGGAAACACACAGCTTTCATTCTGGAATGTTCAGGGACTCCACATTGAGTGGTACAGAATGAAATGACAATACTTTATGCGGACACAGAGAGAAAGGATTTGCTCATAAAGACACCAAACAGGTCCCAGATAATTAAAACAAAGACTAAAGTCTTCATTGCCCTTATTTTTTTTAGTTATTACTTTAAAAACTAGGGACAAATAAAGATAAATGCTAAGCGTAATCCAGTCAGCACAACATTGGGAGAATGTGTTTAGTAAGACTTAAGTGACCAACAATGAGGTTTTCTTTGAAGTTGTTCATACTTATATAGGATATTTTATAAGTCATGACTTTGTTAGATAATTCTTGCCTAGAAACATTTGTCTGACAGCCATTGCCGACATTATAAATCAGCAGATATGGATTATTTGACTGAGTTTTTGAACAGGTATTTGGTGTTTCTTAAGCCAACCTTTTTGATGCATTTTTTTTGCAAAATACAAGTGCAGAATTCATTGCTATACTGTTTTACTGTACAGGTGATGCTTGTTTAACAACCACTTGGCCACTGACCATTCGGACTTGCAACAAGTGAATGAGTGATGGTTATGAACTGTTCTTAAAGTTCTGATCAATGCAGTCCTCCATCATCACATGATCATGATTTGTGACCCTCCCTGTCAGCTTCACACAAGTAGACTCAATGGGGAAGCCAGCAGGATCTCGCAATCACTTGAAGTGCTTGTCTAATGACTCATGTGGTTCTTGGCTAATAATGGTCATTGGCAGTGGTGGGATTCAAATAATTTAACAACTGGTTTGCCCAGGGCAGGTTGGCTGTCATGGAAGTTGTGACCCATTCCTGTCCCCCAGCTCTGCTGCCCATGCAGGATGAGCCTCTCATGATGACCAACTGGGCGAACCGGTTGTTAAATTACACCCTCCCTCCGCTATCAAAGTGGATCCTGGGCACTGCTCTGCAATGGAGAAATGGGAAACAGAGGTGGCACGAGGGAAGGAGGAGATGCAGGGAGTAGAAAGAAGAAAAGCGGCCTTCTAATTCTCTCATGTTGGAGGGAATTGCCCATTTCTCCATTGCAGCACAGCACCCAGGATCCACTTTGATAGCAGAGGCAGGGAAATTTAACAACCAGTTCTCATGAACCGGTGTGAATCGGCTGAATCCCACCACTGCTCATTGGCAGTGAGCTCATTGGGATTGTCAGAATTGCTCCTGCTAAATGGCCCAGTAACACGATGCCATACTTTATGACTGCATTACTTGGGAACAGAAAGTCTGATTCCAATTATTGTTGTAAATTGAGGACTACCTGTACATTTAGAATCAATAGTCTGTGAATCAACTCTAAAAATGATTTTTGCATTATCTCTAGAAAGTCATCTGTGGTATCACACATCAACTAATATGAGGCAGGAGGACATACCTAACCTAGTAATAGTTAATTATCCTACTGGTTAATGCCACTGGTTTAAATAGAAGAAGTAGGAACCCCTCCCTCCAGAGCATATCTGGCTTTATCTTGTTCTCCTTAACCTTTTTGTATAGGTGGTCTCCACATCAGGAGGCGAACCTGATTGGGCGGGAGACTGGAGCCCCGGAAGGAAAACGGGCGTCTCCTACATGAAATGGGAGGGTTGGCAGGTACAGCATGTGCTCTTATGTGAGTCTATGGGAGCATCTAGTTTTCTTCTCCCTCACAGCATTGGAAGTCTCCAGTTCTGAAAGTACCAGTCTGGTCTTATTGTGTGGCTTTCTCCATAACAGTGATGTGAAAATGTAAAGCATGAGACGCATGTCCTTTCAACTCATGCATGCGTGCCCAGGTGGTGTATCATTCTCCACAGGTACTGTCACAAAAGGTGTTTCTTATAGGGAGATCTTCTGTTGGGCATTATTGTTTTTAAACTCTCCTCCTTCTTCTTTTTTTCTTAAAAACACAAAACAAAACAGAATTCACTGAAAAATTCAACCAGGCGGAAGAAAAGAACCTCTTTTAAAAGGAAAGTCAGTAAAAGAGGAAATGAGGTAAATCTTTCAAACAATTTATTATGATTATTAATTAGGGGGAAAATAATCATAACCAAACGGCTGATCCAATCAGATCCTTTTCAGTTCTATTAGACATATCCCATTCTATTCTAGAAGCATGTTATACTTATGCTAAATAAAATATGTTTGGTGATTAATGATTGATTAATTATTATTAATTGGGGGAATTAATGACTAAATAATGATTATTAATTAGCAGAATATACTCAGTACACAACAGCTGATCCAATTGGATCCCTTTCAATTCTATTAGACACATCTCATTCTATTCTAGAAGCATATTATACTTATGCTAAATATAATGCATTTGGTGATTAAAGATTGATTAATGATTATTAATTATGGGAATTAATGACTAATGATTATTAATTAGGGGAAATATACTCATAATACAACAGCAGATCCAATCTGATCCCTTTCAGTTGTATTAGCTGACATATCCCATTATATTCTAGAAGCATATTATACTTATGCTAAATATAATGCATTTGGTGATTAAAGATTGATTAATGATTATTAATTATGGGAATTAATGACTAATGATTATTAATTAGGGGAAATATACTCATAATACAACAGCAGATCCAATCTGATCCCTTTCAGTTGTATTAGCTGACATATCCCATTATATTCTAGAAGCATATTATACTTATGCTAAATATAATGTGTATTTAGAGAATAGTAATTCTTTCTCCTCTCTTCCCCAAGTCTCATCCCAAACTCAACTCATATTTCCTGCTTGGTTGAAAATGCATAACCCCAAACTGTTGTCTGTGGAGATTCCTATCTCTACTGTTCAGTGTCAGGGTTCCAAGTGACACCCCCAATGAAAGAAGACTCCGAGGCTTGAAGTTCCTCAAAGTTCCATTTTATTAGAGATGTCCTATTGGCACATCTGGAAAAACCCAAATCTGAAAACTTTCAGGTTTTCCTCACCCAAAAGAAAGTCAAAGATCCATCCTATTCACATTGTCCATTCAATTCAGTCCCAACTGAAGACAATCCCCAGTCACTCCCATCCAGGTGCAAGCCAATGCCATTTACTCCGAGAGAAAGATATGGTGTTATGGCTAATCCTCCACCACTCCTTGTAATCCCCTCTCCTGTTTCCCCAGGCACTAAATGTGGCAGCACTGAAGCTCCAATGGAAGAGATGGCTTCCAGGGTTGACACATCAGATTTTAAAAGGAAGATGGAAAGCAGCTTGGGTTATGAAGATGATAAAGAGCCTGGAAATCAAGCCTTGTAAGTAAAGTTTAAATCAGCTGGGCATTTCTTTTCAAGCTACAGAGCTTGAAAAATAGAAGAATGAGAGAGATCATTGTGTGTGTCTTACAAATACTTAAAAGTATTTTGAACTCATGATATACTCATTTGAAATCTGATTTATCAGACAGGATTAAATTTGTGTCATCCTGGTGCTTTGTTTTTACGATCCATATATATTTTTTTGTTTTAGAGCAAGGACAAGAAAAGGAGATTGACTCATGGTACAGTATAAATGCAAGTGGGATGTTTTAATTCAGAGATGTTAGTTGCCGAGAGAGATTAGATTATAAGAAGATAGAGAGGAATGCTTAAGGTTAAAAATTGTAGCTTAGCTGGTGTACAGAGTTTCTGATGTATGGTATCTTAATAATGGATACACTGAATGTTAATCCCTACAAAAGCACCCTAGATCTCTCTAGATTGGGCTGCATACAGGTTTAACTAAAATCCAGAACATTTTAGGATTTAAGTGACTTAGATTTCAGCAACCAGTATTAACATGAATCAAGCAGATGATGGGAGAATAGATTAAAAGAGTTGGACCAATACGCAGAGTAACACAAGACACTGAGTGGATGCGAAGTTAAACAAAGGAAATTCAAACTGTATCTTAGGAGGAATTTTATGATAGTAGAATGATTAAAGATTGGAATGCACTGCAGAGAAAAGTAAGAATTTCCCTCTTGCTGGAGATTTTCAAACGGGGGCTGATCTAACTGATTCTTGCAAGGGAAGGAGCAGGTTGTAACCTCCGCAGGAGGTTGACCTGTACTATTTTTTTTTTTAAATCATACAATTCTGATTCTGAAATTCCTACAGGCTGTATTCATACCCTGAACACCACCATAGTCTACTTTTCTTGGTTTTGCTTGGTACACTTTGTGAATCCAGCCATGGAGGATAGTAAACTTTGTTTTATGGTG